AAATGACAGACTTACGGGCTGCAGGTATGTGAGCACGTAGAAGATGATGAGGTTGTCGAGGAAGTAGAGGAACGCTGGAATGGACCATTTCATGAAGCCCAAGAACTCCGAACAGGAAGAGAAGCCAAGTTCTCTGCACGGTCGTCCCTCTGAAAAGGAAAGCGTGGCCTGTCTAACGAAAGTGGCCAAAGAAAACCCATGAAAGAAATGCAGGATCTGGGAGCTCAGACTTACCCTTGACTATTACCCGCAAAGACATTATGATGCAGAATACCAGTTTAATACCCTCTGCCATTAGATTGACAGAGGCAGGTAGGAAGTCATACTTGTTTTCTGCAAGAACAGGCAGAAATAATATGCGTTAGAATATACTTTGCAAGTGGCACCCTGTGGGAAAGGGTAGCCCATGCTGGGCGGCACAGTGGCAAAACACCTGCATTAGCAGAGAGCTTCAGCAGGAGAATTCGCGTTGTGCCCAGGGAGATGAAACCAAGGCCCAAGGCCAGGGTGTAGGCTGATGACCTAGAGCAGGGGCTTGGCTGGCAACACCTGGCCATGGCTGAATCCTGCCTGGGCAATCAGTAAGACAGGGCGGGGGGTGCCCGGTGACTGGCGGCCTGCAAGGACAACAAGCAGGGTGAATCCCGAGGCGGCTACTAACCTGACCATAACCTGACCAGCTTCAGCAAAATATGAAGGGAAGTAACTGATTAAATATAAACAGCAAATACATGTCTCACAACTAAGCAGGCAGTTCGTCGGCAAAATTCCTTAAATGCTTCCCCCTTTGCTGACATTGCGATTGTTACTAGATAAAATTCATTCAAAACATATGGTCTTGTCCTTCAAGAAACATATTTGTACCTTGTTTCAATGGTCTTCTAAGCATTTATGCATAAGTTAACTGCAATCTGTTTTATTATTATTATTTTTAACAGTCATCACTATACATAGATAGAAGCCAGGTTCCGCCACATAAAACAAAAGTAGTACGTCGTAACTACTGACGAATACATTGTGAATAGTTTATCTGGTAATTTCGACTGTGTACCTCGTGATTCATACTTAGTATCTCAATTATTTTTTGTTTTAAATGACTTGATCTCCACGCTTTAAAATCCACGTAACAATTCACACCGTCCAAACATAAAAATCGAAACCCAGGAACCATGCAAAGTGATTAAATAAACATGTTTTAAGTACAGATAATCGTTAAACCGATTCAAATGTATAAAAAACTGATCGTGGCAATTGACTTTCAGCCGTCCGCCCTGATATTAAAATATTATTAACACCTTACTGCTACATTGACACGTATAGTGAGTGGCTATATGTTACTGTCTAGAGAAACCAGGAAGGTAACAGCAGGAGACTAACAAATTTACTGATGCATTAGTAATGAATAACAAAAGAGTTGATCGATTGGTTATATCAGGCAGACTTTCTGTAAAATTATTTTAGGAAATTTCGCTTTACCTATCCCATCGGCATCATGCCAAAGTCCGCACTTCCCAGATCGCTACCAACTACAATGTTATTTTTAATATGCGCATGCGCAATATGCTGTATCTTTCGGACGTGTATTGTAAATATGCTATATTTATTTTTCCACATTTAAATATTTCATGTGAATTATATGTGTATACAGCCTATAATTTGTATTAAGCTAAAAGTGTAAAATTTGGCATTTTAAATTTATCATCAACAATTTTAAGCCGCTTAGCTTATTTACTATGCCGAATCTAAATGTGTACTTGAAATCCCGCGAGATTTGAGATACGGAAGTAGTCGTCAGGTGACAGGGGTCATGTGGGCCGGCGCTGGCGTGGTCTGTACACACAATCCACTTCTGTTTGCGCGTGAGGGCGGAAGTGCGGTGGTAGTTCACTCAAAGGAGAGCCCTTTTTGGAGGCTTTAAGTTTGCAGCCGTGACAAGAGAGACAGCAGGTTGTTTTGGAACATGCAGAACGTTATAAATTCCGTAAAAGGCACCGCACTGGGAGTGGCTGAGTTTTTGACACCAGTATTGAAGGTAGCTGAACAGTTTAGCTGTCAAAGGACTAAGCAAATTATCTCTGATGTTTAGGATGCGTGCATATCTGCCTGCGTTAGCTAGCTCAAGGCAGGTTCTTACTTAATTGGAATGCATTTCAGATTTAGATTACTCGCTGTTTTTGGAATCTGCTAATTTCAAAACTTTGTTGTCCTGTTGTTTCGTTCATTGTTAAGTCCAGTTAGCAATGCACTGGATTCGGCTCGGTTGCTGTTCTGGAATGATCGCGCACGTTTTCGAATTAGTTGAGTCAGTCTGTTCAATATACAGCTTACTATTATTTTGTCTACTTGCTGGCCTGTGCTGTAGATTCAGCTGAAGTTTTCGTAAAGGAAAGTTAATCATCCTGCATCAAGTGGTGTGTCAATTTTGCCTTTGTCAGAGTTTTAAATACAGCACGTGAACGGCGAGTTTCGTTTACACTTCTATTTTCCCGGGAACAGTTTGTATGACTGGTTTAATTTCGAAACCACTTGGGAATATTTGAATATACGGCTTTCAGCAGCAGAGATATCTTAAATTCGAAGGGTCTGATCCGCGTATAGGTCAGCATTTCTTACTTTGCTATTTGTATTGTTTTCAAGTGAAAACATTCCGTATGTGTGTTTACTTTCCGCCACAGGAGTCCAAATTTAAGGAAACTGGAGTTATTACACCAGAAGAGGTAATTTCCCCTTAGTGTTTTTGAAAGTGCACATTTCAGCGAAGCAGTTCTGCCTTAGATGAATAAATGAATAATGTAACTTAAGTATTTCCTTGTTGCCTTAAAAAGCATTTTCAAAGTTCTAATATCAAGCCATTTTACAAGAATTTTGAGGATAAAATGAATTTTGCAGTTCTGCTAATTCTGTGGCATGAGTTAAAAATTGTAAATGTCCTGTCATCTTTAGAAGACAAATTGATATGTGATATGTTCTTCAGAAGTCTTGAATAGAAAGAGCCCGGTGTCATCTGGATTTTCTTTCCTTCAGTTTGTGGCTGCTGGAGATCACCTGGTCCATCACTGTCCCACCTGGAAATGGTGTGTGTGTCTGTGTGTGTGCCGGGGGGGGGGGGGTTGTTAAGTGTCCTTTTGATGCTGAGCTTTTGGTGCTGAATGTATTCAGATTTCTTCATTGGTCACCACCTAATGAACAGAAGTTCATATGCTCTGCTCTGTTAGAACTTAGTTGGAACTTGTATGTTAATTGTTTTGTGTTTTTCATTTCTGTCAGGTCAACAGGAGAAGAGGCAAAAGTAAAACCTTATTTACCAAAGGACAAGCAATTCTTACTAACTCGTAATGGTAAGAGAGTACAGATAGATAAAGGAAAGTGACATTGTGAGGACATCCTCATGGAGAATCTGCTTTCATACTTAAAAATTAAAAATACTACAGTGCTTTTATCAGGATCGTTTCATTTCGCGTTGTTTGAATGGGATCAATAATAATGTATAACACTGAATCAGTGGGATGTGTGTGAGAGAGTACACGGGCAGTAAGGTTACTGCATTAATACTGGATCAGTGGGATGTGTGTGAGAGTATGATGGCAGTAAGGTTACTGCATTAATACTGGATCAGTGGGATGTGTGTGAGAGTATGATGGCAGTAAGGTTACTGCATTAATACTGGATCAGTGGGATGTGTGTGAGAGTATGATGGCAGTAAGGTTACTGCATTAATACTGGATCAGTGGGATGTGTGTGAGAGTATGATGGCAGTAAGGTTACTGCATTAATACTGGATCAGTGGGATGTGTGTGAGAGTATGATGGCAGTAAGGTTACTGCATTAATACTGGATCAGTGGGATGTGTGTGAGAGTATGATGGCAATAAGGTTACTGCATTAATACTGAATCAGTGGGATGTGTGTGAGAGAGTATGATGGCAATAAGGTTACTGNATTAATACTGAATCAGTGGGATGTGTGTGAGAGAGTATGATGGCAATAAGGTTACTGCATTACTGTGCATTCTGACATCGCTGCCATGTGCATGTCAGTACCCTGCTACAAGCGTTGTAAGCAGATGGAATACTCTGATGAGTTGGAGGCCATTATTGAAGAGGATGACGGAGATGGAGGCTGGGTGGACACCTACCATAACATAGGTGGGTTTCTCTTCCACATAGCAGGTGCAGCTGCGTCAGTTTTGTCTCTTCGGAATGTCTGTCGTATCCTGATCTGAGGTAAACAACATTCGCTGTTTCTTTCCAGGTGTATCAGGTATGACTGACGCAGTGCGAGAAATCACATTGGACAATAAAGTAGGTGTCAAAGTCTCCTTAATATTTTTACATCTTTTTAACAGCTGCATTGAATGTCCATTTTTAAATTCTATAAGTAGCCTCAAGCTCTGTCTGGGCAACAGGGTTTAATGATTTGCTTTCGGTTTCCCATGAAGGACAATATCAACATGAATGTGCATGTGGGCGCCAGCAGGAACGATGAAGATGATGATGACGACGAAGAGGCAGCTGACATGGAAGGTGTGTGCGCTGCCCACATGAAACCTCCAGATGGCCTCCATCCCTGTGACGTTGCTTTAAGCCCCCTGGTGGTGGCTTTGCGTAACTAATGTGGGGGTTGCCTTCTCGTTCCAGAGTACGAGGAAAGTGGCCTTTTGGAAACCGATGAGGTATGGAGTCCATTCCCGTTTGTTTACCAGGACTCGCACGTGATGTGTTGTGTAATAGGTCCACGTGCCTGTTTGCATGAGGGTCTGTGGCCTCTGTGTCCCTCCCCAGGCAACATTAGACACCAGCAAAGTGCTAGAAGTGAGCAAATCGAAAGTGGACCCTGGTGGCGAGGATGTCATTCTGCAGACACGGACCTATGACCTCTACATCACCTACGACAAGTATTATCAGACTCCGCGCCTCTGGCTCTTCGGCTACGACGAGGTGCCCGCCTCCTCCAGCGCGTCGTGTGGGCCGGTCGGCCGTGAGCGTGTGGCTGCTTGCATGTTCAGCTTCTGACAGTGTGACTGATCTCCGTCTCACAAAAGCACAGCTTCCAGCATCTAGCCTTCCCTTTCCCAACATCCAGAGCTTGGCTCATCGTCCTTTGGATGTGTGTGATGGTCCCTCACATGGCTGTCGGCTGTCCCACAGGATCGGCAGCCGCTGACTGTCGACCAAATGTATGAAGACATCAGCCAGGACCACGTGAAGAAGACGGTCACCATCGAGAACCACCCACACCTGCCCCCTCCAGCCATGTGTTCCGTACATCCCTGCAGGTGAGTGCTGGCCCGCGCCTTCACGGCCGCACCCCCCTGCCGGCTGAGCTGAAATGGTCACAGGTGCTCTCGCCCTCTTCTCCAGACACGCAGAAGTGATGAAGAAGATCATCGAGACGGTGGCAGAGGGTGGAGGAGAGCTGGGAGTTCACATGTATCCTCTAGAATGTGCCGGGGGGGTGAGGAATCGCAGGTAACCGGCCGAGGAGACGACTCCTCTGTCAAAGACTGAAACATTCAAGGGGGGGTGTTAATTAAGCCTCTTTCCATTTCATCTTCTGTCCAGAAAACTGGGATTCCTTAACGGTTCAGAAGCATCACCAAAAAGTCATAACTTTCAATAAACACATTTACTCATTGATAAAATGAATTAATTCATAACAGCTCCCTTTTGCAATATTCCAGCATATTTTAATAATTGAGGAACTGACAGTCTGGCTACTTAGTTGATCACTGTCTGCTTTTTCAGTTCTTTCTGTTCACTTTCCCAGCTTGTGTGGTTTCTCTTAACTCCCAGTTTCAGGTATCTTCTGATCTTCCTGAAGTTTGTGCAAGCCGTCATTCCCACCATAGAGTACGATTACACCCGACACTTCACCATGTAATCTGCACACGGCAAGGCGGGGACCGCGGGGGCCGTGCTGCGGCTCTCCTCGCACCTGTCTCCGCTTCCCCGTTTCTTTCCTGGATTCACTTTCGGAGCGTTATGGGTCGTTGGGATTTTCAAGAACTCCTTGCATGGGGATTCAGATCGTTCCGGAAATCAAGACCGACGGGTATATTTTATGTTTGTATTCAGATCCACAACGAGCAAATTACACGCATATTCTGCAGCTTAATGTGGTGAAATGGTCCATCTGGGCTCTAGTATGGAAAACTTGTACACCGTCCCCAATAAGTAGAATCATTAATAGGAATCTGAGTTCCAGATTGTGCACAAAAAGCTACCTTCTACTTCAGAACCATTCTGCCTAATCTGCCTCAGAATGTTAGGTGAATGTTTTTAAATCCTCTTTCGCTTCATTCTTTTGAAACCTCTTCATAAGCACATGTGATCTCTCCTCCCTTCCCGTTCTACAGAATTTATTGCGTAAAGCTTTCGCTGCGAGCATAATAGGTTAAACTTCGTGAAGGTCGTAACATCTGTGGCTGGGGACGGTGGGTGTCCTTAAATGTTATAATGTGATTGGGAGCGATTGGATGGGTTCTCGATCCCCCCCAGAGTCACGGATTTCATGTACATTGACATTGTGCTCCTACCTCCAGTGTCTCTTAACCACCTGTGCTGCTGGTGCTAAACTGCAATGTGTGTCAACCACCCTAAATCTCCTGATATCAGCACCATCCTTTTCCAGCAGTCGTTTGGAGCCGTAACTAGCTGCAATTGTCATCTATAGCAATTAAGATGTAAAGCTTCGGTTTGGAGTGAGAATATGCACTTTTTGTCTAGTAATTTAAAAAAACAGCCCCTCTTTCAGGAGCTAGCCCATCAATTTGAACCTTAAAGCGTGATTGCTTCCCTCTACGTAAAGCTTACAAAACGCCTTTAGGATCGTGTCACAAAATATGTTACTCGTATATTACTCGTATTCCGGTATATGTCACTAAGTCATGTGTGCCTGTACATTTTAAGAAGAAAAGTTGTCGATGTTATACGTCTAACAAAAAACAACATGATAACTGAATGCGGCGTTTATATTACGGTTTTAGACGTGGTGTGTTTGCTTTTTGTGTCCTCCATGTAAAGCACTTCACGTACAGTGTGATCTAACACTGCAGTTCGCTGTGGGCCCACGTGCGTTATGCGTCGGCAGTGGGCAGTAGGAGAGATGAGTGATTCTCTGCACGCGAGTAGCCAGGGTAGTAATTTACATCGGATTTTTATCTCTGTTACCTTACTTAAAATATGCAATTAAGCGAACGAAGTATTTCTTCATTTTAAAATACTTATACCTTGCCATTAGACATTTAATTGAAAAAAATACTTGCATAGTTACGACTGTTAACGGTAACTGATTAAAAACGAAAAATTTCTGCATCCTCACATTTATTGTACCATATAGCGGCTAATTAAACAGCTTTTCAGGTGTTTCTATCAGCTAAGTCGTCTGTATGTTCGTGTGGAGCTTTAAGGCGATGTAAATTATGCGTCAAAACGTACAAGACGCTTCGTGTGAAGATTCTTATTTTGCTCAGTTTCCTATCGGCTTCATTTTTCATTAAATAACTGGCTTGCATCATAATTCCCGATGTCCCGATGCCTTGTCTGTGACTGTTGTTGGGGGGGGGGGGTCTTGAATGTTTTACTACATATAAATAAAAGTCTCACAAACAGTGTTTCTGTTCATCATTGCGGAAATAGTGAAGTCTGTAATTGTCGATTTTCAAATAAAACTACTGCTGATGCACAATTTACATCTATATTACAAGTAATCTAGTTGGGATTGGGCGATGTACTTGTAGATTTGTTTTACACACATTTCATTTTATGGCAAAGTTTGGCTTAAATGTTTGTTATAAAATGTATTTGTTCTAAAGGAACGATAAAATTGAAAATAATTCCTAAATTTATTATTAATAATAAGAATTCCTATTCTAGGCCTACCCCATGCCAGGGCGTACTGTCACAAAAACAATATGTTGGTTTTAATTCCAAATCCATTATCTGTAGAGTTAATTATAAGCCGTATACTTACAAGTTTCCATTTTAAAAATTATGTTTAAAAATCAGACCTGAGCTGTCGATTAAGTCCATTGTGAACTGTACAAATGGCAGAGTTTTAATTTTGTATAGAAAGAATAAAACCCCGGCTCTTTGAAACTAGAAGTGGCAAACCACGTGTACGCGGCTGTTTTATGCGTTACATTACTATTCCGCTTAACTTCTAATCTTCTGTAACAGGGCTATTCAAATCACTGTCCTCGAGCACTGCTGGTTTTCCAGCCTTCCTTTACCTGTGAGCCAGGTGTGAAGCCTCTGACCAATCAGAATCAGTAATTATTAAACTAACTACCTGGGAGAACTGAAAACAAGGCCTGGATTTGGAATCGAGGTCCAGATTTGAAGAATCCTGCTCTATAATTATATCACCCCAACTGATAATTCTTCTCTTTAAAAGGTTGCAGATGGGCTTGTTTCATAAATTCCCTCAGAGGGTGTTTTGAAGCTGTAATAGATTCAGTTTCAATATTTAGTAGACCATTTACAAAGAATGCAATGGAATGTTCATTCCTTCTGCTGCACTGAGTACAAAATTAATTGATTAAATATTTCATTTCTGCCTTTGCGGCCTCAAACGTATTTGATCCAGTTCTTATAATGATCATTCGTGAATTCCGGAACAATAATAATTGCAGGCCAAGTGAACTAAAATTTGCATGGATTACATGACTTTCATCAGCAATGTTAATATTTTACTTGTATTTTATGTATCGCTTTTTGTACTTTTGTCTTGCACCAAAACAAATTCCTTGCACTTTTTGTACTTGGCGAATAAAACATTCTGATAATGATTCAAAGTGACAAATCTATGATGCAATAATGTGTCGCTATTTCATTGTTTTGTTGCTACTTTAGATGATGCAATGCCGATGCAATGCCGTAAACTGACGCTGCAAATAAAAATGTAGTCTTTTTTAATGAATGAACATTGCAGAGTACAGTTATATAACCATAATACAATAACAAGAAGAAACTACGGAGCGCTTTTTACAATTCTAAATAAATAAATATAAAATCTTCATCACGGAACAGAACTGTGACGTAGAAATTCTACAACGGAACAGAGGGGGTGCATTTAGCAACCGCGACCTTCCATCGGCATTTCTGGTGAAATCAAAGACGATTCCAATTGGACGAAACCGTTAGACACGCCTTTCACTTCGTAAAAATCCGATTGGCACGACGTCGGTGTCAGCATTCTGTCTCCGCCCACCGAATGATGTTTCGCTGACTGCCGCTCGCTAGGAAGGTCAAGCGGCAACTGAAATGTCGGAAGCATGGAGGTATCCCACGTTTTTATTATGCGTTTATGGGTTTTTCTCAAGCCTCAGGCCTTTAGAACCCTTCCTTACCGCATATTTAATGGGACCTGATAAAAACTTAACCGAGACCGAGGTAAGTGGACGTGGATTTTACTTACTTAACCCGACGGCTCTAATAGATGTTCAAATAACACAAAATTTGCAGATATAGTTAAGTTGTATGTCTTTTTGCAAAGCAATCATTGTGTACACGGATATATTGTGTAAGCCGATATTTCTACGTGCGTGCGGATAAGGTAAGGAAGTGCTTAGGGTATGCAGTATGTAACTAACAACTAAATACAATTAATGTACGAGAATTCATACTGGATTTTACACATACAAAACATCAAGGCTGACATTGTGTACAGGCTTCTATTTCTCCAGCTCGTGATCAAGTAGCCTAATACCCAGCAGCACGTCGGGTATTTCGTAAATCCGGCGCCTGGTGACATGTAATACTTTTATTTGAGCTGGATAAATGGACACGCCGGTTGAGCGGCCCCTCTACAAATAATAATAATAATTAAAAATATTAAAATTTTCAAAGCATCAGTGCGTGTATACTGTTTATCAAAAATGTTAATCTCACTGTAATGTTTACATGGAATTAACGAGCACAAGAGAATACTTTCCCCCTCTTAGAATTTTTCTTTAGCTGTTCCCCAGTACAGCATTTCCTTACATGAACTATTGTATTTGATGCGATTTCTAATATAACAGGCTTTAATGGCTTTCCATGTCATAAGGCTTTAATTGGCTGTCCATTTCATAAGTACGAGTTGTCCGTAAGTCGGGCGTTTTTATACCGGGGACTGCCGGTACTTAAGCATGTTCTTTGAACTGTACACCGCCCCCCCTCCCCCCACATGACCCCATAACCTTCACATTTAGCCGGTATCCATGCGCTGCCTCCTGAGTCATGTACTGTTTAATGTTTCCTCTTCTCACTGTAGGTCGTCAATGAAATATACCCAGTGTGGACCTACTCCTACCTGGCACTGCTGTTTCCCGTCTTCCTGGCCACAGACTACCTCTGTTACAAGCCCGTGATCATCCTGCAGGGGGCGAGCTTCGTCGTGACGTACATTATGCTGGTGAAGGCCCAGGGGCTACGGGCCATGCAGCTGCTGGAGTTCTTCTTCGGGGTCGCCACGGCGACTGAGGTGGCGTACTATTCGTATATCTACAGTGTGGTGGAGCCGGCGCAGTACCAGAAGGTCACCGCCTACTGCCGAGGTGTCACGCTGCTGGGCTCCACCGTGGGCTCGCTGGCCGGGCAGGTCCTGGTGTCTGTGGCGAAGGTCCCCCTGTTCTACCTCTGTGTCGCCACACTGGTGTCCATAGGACTGGCTTTCATTGCTCCCTGGTTCCTTCCCATTGCCAGCAGGAGTTTGTTTTTCCACAAAAGTGACAGCATCGTCCTGGCGGTGACAGAAGACCCTTCAAAAGGGGCAATTTGTGTCTCCATGGAGAATCTGAGCAAGGAGAAGGTGGAGGACAATGAATGCAAGATACTGCTTGAGCACAACATCCCTGCGCCTGTGACCAAGGTCAGCCAAAATGCACTCTGACGTGGCTCTTTAAATGCATTAATATTAAACATGAATGAATGACAAGCTAAAGTCCCGGGTGATTCTGTGGAATGTTCTTCATATGCAGTGCTGTGTACTAGAACATCTTTCTTTAAACCAGGTTCCAAAGCCAGTCGTTGGGAGCGCTGGTGCTCTTGATGTGTTGAAGACACTCTGGCGCGACTTCCTGCATTGCTACTCGTGTCATACTCTCCTGGCCTGGTCTTTGTGGTGGGCTTTGTCCACCTGTGGCTATCTACAGGTGGTCAACTATACCCAGGTCCTGTGGGAGAACATTCTTCCTTCTCAGGAGTTTATGATCTACAATGGCTATGTGGAGACGGTCTCCACTGTGCTCGGTGAGTCTGCTAACCAAAAAGCAGCTATTTTTCCATAGCAGAAATATCTAGTTAATCTCTGGATAACAATATCTGTCAAGCATCTGAATGATGTGCTGAAATTGCATGGTCTCTGGAAGGTATTAGCAGGCATGTAGACCCAGTGTCATGATGCATCTCAGCAACACTTCTCTGCTCTGTCCTGGACCAGGTGCTTCCATGGCATTTAGCGTGAGCTTTGTGACGATCTCCTGGACAGCCTGGGGAGAATTGTGCCTTTGCTGCTTCACTGTTGTCTTAGCAATAACAGTGTATCTTATGGACACGGTCAGGAACATATGGCTGTGCTACGCCTCCTATGTTGTCTTCAGAGGCACTTACATGCTACTCATCACAATTGCCACGTGAGTATGAGTATGGGCCATCAAGATAGAATGTCGGAATGAGGTCTTGTGAAGGTCCACCTGAGCGATGATCTTATTCTCTCCATCAGCTATCAGATTGCTGCTAACCTCAACATGAGGAGGTATGCCTTCGTCTTCGGAGTGAACACCTTTATGGCCTTGTTGCTACAGACCATACTGACTCTGATTGTGGTTGACTCCATTGGACTGGGCCTTGATATTTTTTCTCAGGTATGTCTACTCTCTTGCCATTTGTTGTTTTTCTCTTTTTTTTTTTTTTTTTTGGTAATATAACTGAACTCTCTTGCGCTTCACACCTGCCTTTCCCTCCCTCTCAGTTTTTAATCTACGCTTGCTACTTTGCGACGATCGCCGCCATCTTCCTGGCAGCCGCCCTGCGCCGGCTGGCAGTGAGGTGCCAGGCCCAGCCGTCGAGTCAGAGCGGGAGCAAGGACACGGACTTGGACTCGCTTGGGGGCGTCTCGTCTCTCCATGACGCAGAAGCGAGTCTGCCTGTGGACGACCGGCTGCCCCCCCAGGGTTAGGACAGTGAAGACACCATTATTTCTGTTACCGTTTTAGGGAATAAAGATGGACCTCTTTTTCCCCAGGACTGTTATGATGTGAAGAATGGGGACTGCAACAGCCTTCAGTGTCTCTGTAAACCTGCCTTTGCACACGCCACATTATCCGCACCAAAATACAATTCTTAAATGATGCACAAAGATACTCGTAGTAATGGCAGGTCCAGATCTTGCAGGCAGGACACTCTGTTGGCATGGAAGGAAACCAGATGGACCAACATGACCTATTTTATGAGGAGAGTGTTGATACTTGAACGGCCGATAGTGTTACCACTGTTTTGGTACAAAAAAACAGTGTTTTGTTTTCTATGAATGCAGATATGTTATGTTACGCACAATGAAGTATTATGCTACTGTTTTGATAGTAATGGGGGTCCCGCGACTACCCCAAGTGCAGCTCGTCATCGTGGTGGGAAAAATAACATGCCTGTGGACAGAGGAGTGTCACAGGGGCATCGAGCACTTGACAGGGCCCCAGAAATATGTAAAACTGGGTGGGGTGGGGGTCAAGGTGAAATTTCAGTTAGGGGCCCCAGGACTTCAAGGTGCCCCCCTCTGGTCTGTATGACAGGAACGCAGATGAGCTGCCATGGGTTTTGGCCACATCAGAATTGGGAGGAAGGTAAGAGAGCTTCAGTGTGCCACGTGTAAGCCATGTGTAAATGTATCAAAAATCCATCACTGCATATAGCAATGGGAACCTCTGTGATTTACTACTCAAAATATAAGATTTTCATGAGATTTATACCGAATAAACTAGATATTACCTTCCTTGGCAAACAGTGATTGAAAGGAACACTTCAAAATGTACTTGCACCATGTGCCTTAGTATTTTAAATGGTAAACTTGTAGTTAAGAGTCGTTCATTGTTACGTTAAGATGAGAACTTAAATAGATGTATACACGTAATTTTGTTTGCACAAGTATTTTTATAATAAAGAACTAAAAATGTGTATTGGTGTATTTTTTAAACTACCAATGAATAATGAAAAAGATTTAAAGCCTGCTAGTTGCAATGAACACAATAAGCACAGCATCAGCTGCAACATTTTCACTCTTGTGCCCAGTTGTCCAGTAGTAATCTGATTGGATTTCAGACGTTGGGTTGGATCAAACCTTAAAAATGGAACATCGAATTAGATCATGTAATCCAGTTTTGGTTTTGATCTGGATCGAGCCTTCAGTATGTGTTCAAAACCTTTTCAGTAGGATTGGGATACCTTTGATAAAAAATAGGATCACCCTGATCCCAGCAAAAGGGTGGATTCAGGGTGGATTTCAGGAACAAAATGTAACAAATTCTTACAATGCAAAATGAATAATACAACCTTTGTATTATGTAGTATATGTGTACTTATTCATTTTGCTATTGATTTCTTCAACTATTACAGTGAAAAAGCAGATAGAACAGACATTAGTCTACCTCTTACGACTTTTAGTACAGAAAACCTAAAAGGGGTTTTGTTCCCATAAAATAATCCCCAAAATAGCTGTCAATATCAAACAAAACTATTAAGTTAACTGTAGATGTCATTCATCACTGTAAATTGATTACAATAGCATAATCATCAGAGATGAACCAGCCATAAGCAAACTCTAACAATTACATGCCTTCTTGTTAACTACTGAACCTTTATATGATTTAAAAATGTGTTCAAAATACAATGTATTTGTGAATACTGTATATTTGTTTTATTTAATGATGTGATAACGTATATTTGATTTATTTAATGATGTGATAATGTATATTTGTTTTATTTAATGATGTGATAACGTATATTTGATTTATTTAATGATGTGATAACGTATATTTGATTTATTTAATGATGTGATAACGTATATTTGTTTTATTTAATGATGTGATAACGTATATTTGTTCATGCTACACCCGTGATCGGAAAGTTGCTGGTTTGAGCCCCAGCCTCGGCAAAAAGGTCACATGTCCATTGGCCCTTGAGCGAGGCCCTAACCCCCCAGCTCCGCCCTGCAGGTGGCTGCCCTTCACTGCCAAGCTTGCTGCCACCTATATATGTGTCTGTGTGTCATAGACAGCAAGATGGGGTCGGCGAACAGAGAATTTACCCACAGCGATCAATACAATGTCATTTTTATCATTATTATTTATTTGTTGCTAGTCAAATGAGGGCTCTGACTGTTTAAAAGCAATTGAAAATTGAAGGGGATGCTTGTGTTATTTTATTGTTCTATCTTCTGTCTATTCAAATAACACTCATAATGACCCTTTACCAGAGGTGTAAAGAGTACCTGAAAACCATACTTGAGTAAGAGTACAGATACCTTACTGTATAAATTACTCCATTACAAGTTACAAGTCACCAATTCCAATAAGACTTGAGTAAAAGTCGTAAAGTATCCAATTTTAAAAGAACTTAAGTATTTTACTCGTACTGAATGTAGGCTCAAAGAACACCAAGAAATGTGGAAAACAAGGAACTAGTTATTTATGAGGCTTTATTTCCTACACAGCAAAATCACCAGTGT